GCCAATTACGTTCCATCAACAGCCACTGGGATGCCAGTATATTCAACCACAGATAAAAATACGCGCGTTTTTATTTTTTTGAATCTCGTCGCCTGTATGGATGTACTGTATATACGGTATAATTTGGGTGACACAGATTTTACACAGGCCCCACTTGATACCACCGTGTACTCTGTAATGGCAAATTGTGTCAAACAAATGTTTTTTTGACGTGACTTTGAACAGGTACGGATAAACTAGAAACTAGTCAACCAGCTCAACAAATTTGAAATGGTCCATTTTAATCGCAAATGAACAATGCCGTTATCTGCAAAATACAATGGTGACTATTACAGATAATGTATTGAGAAATAGAAATGGTGGGAATGCAACGATTATAAATACCTGCACAGAAAGGAATTATATGTGTGTGTGTGTGTGTGTGTGTGTGTGTGTGTGTGTGTGTGGTATTGTGGGGCTGTGTAATTCTTATTTACCTCTCCGGCTGTGTTTTTGTTTGCCTTGAACGTCGTCACGTGTTAATTACACATCGGCACTGAGTAACCAGTGAGGGAAATTGCAACGCGATTACATTAGGTTGCTCAGCAATCACGTTAACCTGCTAACCAATTGCATTGATCTGTAGATAACAACCCGGGGAACATGGTCATTTTTTAATTATGAGATAATTACATCTAGGGTTGGATGGGATATAACAGGCCACCGCATTGCCTGAGCAGAGGGTGTGCATGCATTCTACAGAGAACTAGTGCTAATTAATACAAAATGAAAAAAATATTTTAAAAAAAACAGTAAAATTCGGGAGGAAATATACAGTAAAAGATCACTTCTCCCTTGGAAATGGCAGCTTTCCCTTTTCACTTCATTCTCTCTCTCTCTCTATCTCTCTCTATCTCTCAGTATGCCTCTCTCTCTCTCTCTCTCTCTCTCTCTCTCTCTCTCTCTCTCTCTATCTCTTAGTATGCCTCTCTCCTCTCTCTCTCTCCTGTCTCTCTCATAACTCTCTGTATCTATCTCAATCTACCCTCTATCTCACCTCTCTTTCTCTCTTTTCACCTTACTTCCCTCTCTCTCTCTCTCTCTCTCTCTCTCTCTCTCTCTCTCCCTCTCCCTCTTCACAGGCCAGACTCCGTGGCTGCTCCCTGTGGCTGACATGTCCCCACGGTGCATGTATTGTCGCGTGTGAGACGTGGGCAGGTGTGCGCGTGTGAAAAAAACCTCCCATGTTTCACACCTTTCTTTAAAAAGCCAGCGGGTCCGGTCCGCGGTGGCCTTCGCGAGACCGTCCCGATCTCAGCGTTCGCGTTCTGTTCCTCTCCGCAGATCGGTCTGGCCGCAAGCCCGTTTGAAAGCTGGACCAATCGGTGCTCGGGGGGGAGGGAGTTTCAGTTCGGGACGGAAAAAGAAAAGTATCCGAATCGGACAGAAACGTTTGAAAATCTGGAAACTCTAGTATATATCCTAAACCTCACAGCTCACACTCGCAGATTATATCATTAGCGTAATGACGACAGGAAGTGGAAATGGCAACGTCAGTTTGGGGACACTTAAAACCTTAATTTGGCATTTCATAAAAGACCCCAAAAAGCTTTTGTCACCTGTCCTCGCCTCGACTCCTCATAATGAATTCATACATTCAGCAGATGGTCGCATCCGACGCCACCAACGGTGGACATCCCGGAGACAGGTCATTAAAGTGTAGGCATCTTGCTCAAGGACGCTACACCGCACAGGCCGTCTGTGCGCATCGGGGATCGAACCCGGGGACCTTTCAACCGGGGAGCTGCGAATACAACACCCTTGCCGGCAGACTAATATAGCCCTGCGTGCGCCGTACCCTTTTCCGCCACGGAACAGGAGAGAAAAACAGGCTTGAGAGCTAATTAGCGTGTTTTCCATAGGAACGCCGACATCTGCTTTTTCGCGCGGCTACCTGCGCGAAAGCGCACGGAGCGATGGGACACACTTGTGCGCTCCCCTGCCTAGTTAGGTGAATCCGTGGAGAAACCAGATGTTGAGGACTCACTGGCACTCTCGCACTGGTCTCTCTCTCTCTCTCTCTCTCTCTCCATCTAGCTTTCTCTACATCTACTCTCTTTTTCTGTCTCTCTTTGTAACTCTCTCGCTCTTTATCTATATTTTGATCATCAACACTTATTTTCCGTCTCTTAACTGTCAACCTCATCTCTCTCTCTCTCTCTCTCTCTCTCTCTCTCTCTCTCTCTCTCTCTCTCTCTCTCTCTCTCTCTCTCTCTCTCTCTCTCTCCATCCAGCTTTCTCTACATCTACTCTCTTTTTCTGTCTCTCTTTGTAACTCTCTCGCTCTTTATCTCTATTTTGATCAACACTAATTTTCTATCTCTTAACTGTCAACCTCATCTCTCTCGCTCCCTCTCCCTCCCTCTCTCTCTCTCTCTCTCTCTCTCTCTCTCTCTCTCCCCATCTAGCTTTCTCTACATCTACTCTCTTTTTCTGTCTCTCTTTGTAACTCTCGCTCTTTATCTCTATTTTGATCATCAACACTTATTTTCCGTCTCTTAACTGTCAACCTCATCTCTCTCTCTCTCTCTCTCTCTCTCTCTCTCTCCATCTAGCTTTCTCTACATCTACTCTCTTTTTCTGTCTCTCTTTGTAACTCTCTCGCTCTTTATCTCTATTTTGATCATCAACACTTATTTTCCGTCTCTTAACTGTCAACCTCATCTCTCTCTCTCTCTCTCTCTCTCTCTCTCTCTACTCTCTTTTTCTGTCTCTCTTTGTAACTCTCTCGCTCTTTATCTCTATTTTGATCAACATTAATTTTCTATCTCTTAACTGTCAACCTCATCTCTCTCTCTCTCTCTCTCCCTCCCTCTCCCTCTCCCTCTCCCTCTCTCTCTCTCACACTCATCAGTGGATCAATAAATCTTTACATCTGGTCGGCCCACCATCTCTCTTGTCTAAATGATTTCTCAATCTCAAGATCTGATGATTGCCCTTTTTCTCACCTCGAAAACATTAACCTTTGCACACACACACACACACACACACACACACATTCACACACGCACACTCAGGGCATTTTTTTATGTACAATCCAAACCCTGCACAGACACACATGCATTCAGAAATACACACACACACACACACACACACACACACACACACACACACACATGAAATGCATTGTGTACACAAGACTGTACATGGCTTCTGTTCTGACTGTACATTCTCGCGCGAATACCCACACAGATGCAGACACGCGCATTCAGAAATACACACAAAAAGGATCGGCCGCGAGTGACCTCGCCTTAAGTGAATTCCCCCCCGTAGACTGGCGCCGTCACTCCAGCGCTTAACCTTGAGAGCGAGGTGACCGACGTTCGTCGAGACGCGACGCAACGCTAACGCGATAACGACACGCGGGCTAGCTAGGCACACTCACACACGCCATGCTGTGCGCGCGTAGCATTTCACGCTTCGCCTCGGATGCGCCATTTGCGTGTGCGTGTGTATGCATGTACCGCCGTCACCACCGCCGCTAAAACATACACCAATCCGCATGTTTTTTAAATTACGCTTCCTGGTTAACCACAGAGTTGTGGTGTGTCTGAAATCGCGCACTTCTATACTTACACTTACTTTTTTGAGTGCACTTTGCGCAAAAGCGTTGAGTGTGCCAAAACGCAGTGCACTGGAAATACGGCGGTGGCGCACTCAAAACTATCTAAAATGTGAGTGTGGACCGATGGACACTTTCCGCACTCAACGGCCGCCATTTTGTCTACGTAGCGGAAGGGGCGGAATCAAAAATGGAGGACACACAGGAGTAACCATAGTAACAGTTGAGACCAACGCGCTCTACAAATGTAAAATAGTATTGAATATGTAAATTAATATATATTAATATATTTCATAGGTAAATAAACTTAGCGGTAGGCCGTTTTCCGCCAGGAGGAAAACGGCAAAAAAAAAAAAAAAACGAAGAAAAACCGTCAAACTGCGAACTCATTTCCGGTCGGTGCGCGAAGGCTGTTTTGACAGTGCACTGTAGAAATGAGAGCACTGCGCCTATAAGTAAGTGTACTGTGGGGATAATGAAGTGCACTAAATGTAAGTGCACTTACGTAAGTGCGCGATTTCAGACACAGCATTGGACTCTGCGTAAGGGTTGGGCGATATGGCAAAAATGGTCATTTAATATCTCTTTAACGATACATATATCGCGATATAGCATGTTTTCTCGTAACTAAAATAAATATATAGTCTATGTAAAATAACCACATGGTCAAGCCTATTTTTGTATACTCCTGTGTGAATCAAATACTCGACAAATTAAAAAGTACTGAGTATGTTCGTATTTTTTTCATCACTTTAACGTAATGCAAACCAGAAAAGACACCACTTCATGCCATATCACGATATTATGATATCCGAAAACTAGGACGACATCTCGTCTCGTATCACGATATCGATAAAATATCAATACATTGCCCACACTTTTATCTGACACTTTTATCCAAAGTCAGTGGTTCGCAAACTATTTTTTACTAATGTAGCCCCTCCTGGATATCTTTGTTCAGCCAAGTAAGTTTCACCAGCACAACGCTGCATTTTATATAAATACATATAAATATATGTGCATGGTATTTGATGTAAACATGAACATTAAATGGGTGGTGCAAATAATTAGTTTAGTGAGAAACATGGGCTTGTGCTTCACTTATGATTTTTGTCATTCATTGAAAAGATCTATCAAACTTATATTATAAACGTATATTAGTAGGCCTATTCAGATTTACTTAATTTTTATTAAGGTGGCATTATTTTACAATAGTTCATAACCCATATCACAACGACAAATGGGATATATTTTCAGAAATGTTTCAAGTACCCCCTGCAATCCTTCAAAGTACCCCTAGGGGCGCACGTTCCCCCATTTGGG